CTTAAAAGCTGAATAAAGAGGCAGCAGAGACATCAAGAGAGATAACAGCTTGAGAAGGACTCAGCTCCGCATTGCCAGGGAAGTGGGGCCATGAGCCAAGGGATGTGGACAGCCTTTAGAAGTTGGAAAAGGTGGCCAGGCCCGGTGGCTCCCATCTGTAATCGCAGCACTTTGGGAGGCCAAGGCAGGTGGATCACCTGAGGTCAGGAGTTCAAGACCAGCCTGGCCAACATGGCGAAACCTCATCTCTACTAAAAAATGTATAAAAAATTAGCTGGGCATGGTGGCGGCACCTGTAATCCCAGCTATTCGGGAGGCTGAGGCAGGGAGAATTACTTGAACCTAGGAGGCAGAGGTTTCAGTGAGCCAAGATTGCGCCACTGCACTCCAGCCTGGAGACAGAGCAAGATACCACCTCAAAAAAAAAAGTTGAAAAGGAAAGATGCTCTACTCTACAGCTACCAAGGGACACACATTGCTGCTGACACCTTGATTTTAGCCCGGTAAGACCCACGTTAGACTTCTGACCTCCAGAACTGTAAGATAATCAATTTGCATTGTTTTAAACCACTAAATTTCTAGCAATTTTTTTTTGATAGCAGAAACAGGAGAGTAAAACCCATGACTAAGTTCTCAAATTTTGTTTTTCATTAGAAGGCAAGAAAAGGAAAGTAGAACTTAAAAGTCTGACAGATTCCCCTTTTTGGAAAAATACTGGGGACTTGCAGGCTGACAGATTCCCCAATATTTTACTTTTCTTCTCTTTAATAGACGAAGAAGATTGTATATCTAAGGTGATTGGGCTCATTTTTCAGTCCAAATTTTTAGCACAGTATGAAAGCATTATGGTAAGGTCCAGAATTCATATTTAAAAAATCTCCCTAGGCATCTTTAATATGCAGCCACGTTTGCACACAACTGGTCTACAATTTAAATTCTAACCAACATAATTACAAGGTGGTTGCATTGCTAGAGAATGAGTACTGATGGGTTATCATTAATCTGGGAGGACAGAACTCAGGTGATATACACAGAGATGGGGCCTGGTGATGTAACATTTTATCTGTGACCTGCAGATGGAATAGCCAGCATGCCAATTCAATGTGAATGTGGCACCAAATGGAAAACAGGTGGAGGAGGGCATTTTAATTCATTAATGAGTGTTGTTAGGATGGAGGGTTTATTGATTCTGAGGACAGGTGACAGCAGGCTGAGGAGGTGCCAGCAGAGTTGCTGGGAGTTGAATGCAATTCAGAGAAGGCAAATGCAGAATAATATACCGTCTGTAACAGGGAAGGACACAGCACAACAACTGGCAGGGCTGGGGAAGACCTTGTAACATTAGAAAAGGGTCTGGAGACAAGGTCAGTCTCAGATTAGAGTGGGTGTTAGGGGGAGCGAGTGGATGCCAGAGGGCCACTTGGCCTGGGCCTCTTATTCACATATGTCCTGAAATTTAGGCTCCTGACATCTCTTGGTATCTGATAAGGTGTTTGTTAATGTAAAAACCTGCAAAACATGCCAGTTTATAACTCCGTTTTTGCAACGTTTCCTTTGTTAATGTATGGGGAGCCTGAAAACATGAGGCTAGTGGCCTAGATGTCTCAACTTCAAAAGTATATGTTGGCTCACGGGACTCATTCAGCCCTGCAGTTTATGAAGCAATCCTAAGTGGACCCCCAAAGGATATTTTTGGAAGGATACCCCAAGAACAGTGAGGGTCTCTAGTGAGCTGGGTCGGGAGAATTGGAATCTCTGCAGAGAGGAAAAGAGATTTGCCTTTTTTTTTTTTTTCCTAAATACAATTTTAATAGACCCTTTTTTTTGTTTTCCTCTTTTCCTCCCAGAGTCATACATGCAGTTAATCAAATGTCAAACAGCAAGTCTTGTTATAAAAAAAACAGTTGTCCCTTAGTCTCTCCTCCCCACTTTCTACACTTTCACCTTTTAGATAATTCTTTTGGTATTCACTTCCAGGTCTCTACATTAACATGCTTGAAATGCTGTTCCTTGATTTTTCAATTATAGCTATTACCTGATTTTTCTCCAGGGTAGAAAATTAGGAATTGGTGTCTTTCCTCCTGCTGTCCCAGTGGGACACACTCATCCTTCCCCATTTCCCATCCTTCCAACGGAGTTATGTTGTAATGCATGCTGGTAAGGTGATGTTCAATGTATGTGTTACAGCAATAGTCACAGCTAAGCCATACAGTAAGCTATGACCACTTTCCCTTTCCCGAACACCTTTTTTTTTTCTTTCACTTTGGGATAGGGTCTTGCTCTGTCACGCAGCCCAGATAATTTTGTTTGTTTGTCTGTTTTTTGGGGTTTTCTTTTTGAGACAGGATTTCACCTTGTTGCCCAAGCTGGTCTTGAACTCCTGGTCTCAAGCAATTCACCCACCTCTGCCTCCCAAAGTTCTGGTATTACAGGCATGAGCTACTGCGCCTGGCCTCATGCACACCTTTTTTTGTTGCTCCTGGAGCTAATAACTGTTTTGGTTTTTGTTTGCTTCATTTTCTACGTACAGTATTGATTTGCTATTTGTCTACCTCTGCTGTCAAGGCATTCAGAATTTTCAGATGTTCTAATAATTTCACCAGTCTCCTAAAAAAAAAAAATCTCTCCCATAGCCTTATAGCATGCTCTAACCTGCACCTGAGACACAGCTCTCATTTTGGAATCTCCCTTCACCATCATCACAGAGATTCTCTTGTCTCATTCCTGGTTGAACTTTTGAGTCCTCTTTCTTAGTTTCTTATTTTGACGTTTGGCGACTTCCTAAGGCAGGGGCATGGGATATAAATTCTCAAGAACTTGGATGTCAGAAAATGTTTGTTTTTACTCTAGTCTGACACTTGATGGATTCTTTGGGCCAAGTGTAGAATTCTAGAGTATAAACAATTTTTCTTGAGAATTCTGAAAGCCATTGCCATCTGGCCTTCTGTTGCTTTTGAGAAGTCTGATGCCATTCTGATTTGTCATCCTTTAGGTAGGACTTGTTTGCTCCTCTTCTTTGAAAGCCTGTAGCATCTGTTCTTTGTCCTCACTGTTTTGAGATATCACACTGGTGTGCCTTAGTGTGGGTCTATTCTCTTTCTGCTGGCATTTGGTAGCCCTTTCATTCAAAAAATGCATGCTTGTTAGTTGTGGGAAATTATTTCTTTAATGACTTTCTCTCCTCTGGTTTCTCTGTTCACTCTTTTTAGAACTCCTATTTACAATATTAAACCTTCTGTTTTCCTGATTTTCTTTTCTTTTTTTGAGACAGAGTCTTGCTCTGTCACCCAGGCTGCAGTGTCTGCCTCCCGGGTCAAGTGATTCTCATGCCTCAGCCTCTAAAGTAGCTGGAATTAGAGGTGCCTGCCACCATGCCCAGCTATGTTTTCCTGATTTTCTTATATTGCCTTTCATTTGTCTACTTCTTTCTCTTTTGCTCTAATTTCAGAGATTTGCTTTTCTTCATTTTCTAACTCTTACTGATTTTAAATTTTTTAATCATATTTCTAATTTCCAAGAGGTCATATGTGTTCCCTGAATGTTCCTTTTACTAGCATTATATTCTTTTTTGATAGTTGTGTATCTTACCTCTGAGGATATTAATCAGAGGATATTTGACATTTTCTTCACCCTGTACAGTCTCTCTTTCCTTGAAGTTGCTTTTTCCTATTCCTCTTGGTCTCTGTATTTCATGTGAGAGGTTTTCCTCAGTGTCTGTTAAACTTTGATTACCTGTTAGTATTTAAGATCAGAGCTAAAAAGCTGAGAAGAGATTTTGAACCAGTTAGGCGTTGTTGTCCAGAGGCTCCATGACATGCTCTGGCTGGGTTATTTGGCTGAAGGACCCACACAATAGTGCCTTTAAATTTTTACTCTTGTGGAGATCAAATTCCCCTTAGAAGACTCTTCCAGGCTCATGCTCAAAGGATATAATTCTGGCAACCAGTATCATGGGAGGTCACTGGGGAAAGAGCAGTGGGTCTTAGTGTCTGTCCACTTAATTTCTCAGTTTCCAACACAGCCCTCAACTCTGCTCAGTGTCCTATTGGTAGACCTTCTGTTCTAGACTTTGTGGTGGGGATAGGCTACTGGCCTGGTGTAGACAGGGGAGGGACCTGGGAGTCAAAGTGCTTCCTAAACAGACTTTGAACCACTCCTGGTTTCAGGATACCCCACCCCACTTCCAGTTACCTGGCGCTGCCAAGTCCTGAGCCCTTGTGGGATTCTGGTTGTTTCTCAAATTTCATCACTGCTGACTTACGATTCAGTTTTCCTATGTCTGTTGTATCATTGGCCACACTTCTTTCAGGCTTTCAAAATGTTGCTATGGGGAGTTGAAAAAAAATGTTGCTATCATTTCTTCTGTTTTTATCAGAAGGAAGAAAAAGGAGACTGTGTGTGTGTGTGTGTGTGTGTGTGTGTGTGTGTGTGCGTGTGTGTGTTCTGTTCTCCATCTTTACCTGGAAGTTGGGAGATTTACTTATCACTCTTTAATTTTTTTCTGTTGTTTTATTGTTGAATCAATGTTTTCATTACAAACTATTAATTACTGAGGATTGTTTTACTTTTTAAGATAATCCAATTCATTTTTATCAAAGCAGCTATGAGAGTATCGCATGTAAAACTGCAAAATAATGATCAGCCTTTAAAGCTCTGAGTGTTTCCCAAGTGCTGAGCTCTGTCATACCTGCATGTATGTGCATGTGTATTTACGAAGGAGATAGCTGTGGCCAACGTGGAGAAGGTAATGTACCCACAAACGATGACACAAGACCAATAAAAAATAACACACCTATAAGCAGGAAATGAAGTAGGTCACAATGAGTCATCATCCGTTGTGTGAAATTCTCAGGTTATTGTTACCTCAGCCCAGAGAAGAGTTTTCAGTTCAGTTGGACACGAGCTATCCCACTCATAATGAATCTGCTGAAGCCATTAGTTGTTTCCCAATTTTTTTATTGTACATCCTTATAACAAAAACATTTCAGCATACCCTCAGATATATAAATATATTTATTTACAGGTTATACATGTCATATTGATATCAGTATAATACTCAGTATAATACTAACATACAAATATGTAGAGATTTTTTAAAGGATGCAATAGAAAATAAAATTAGAAGTTCTAATCTTTTTATTCAGTACCTCAGTGTCTTACACACCAAGGAACTTTCCACCATGATGAGTATCTGAACACTTATAAAGGTTTTCAAAAGACTCCTACTCAGACCCTACCTAGGCGTTCTGAATCAGAACTTCTGAGGGTAGGGCCCTAGACAGACAGCCAAATGCCTAGGCAGATAAAAAGGGGAGAATCTCCCACCCTCCCCACAAGTGTTTACATCAGATGCTCTTGTGCAGGTGAAGGAACATGCCCAGGGCCTTGTCTGAACATGCCCACATGAGCCCTGGGGAGCAGGGTGAAGCCACAGGCAAGGGGAGGAGCCCTGGTATTCAGTCTGTGAGGTGGGATCCTGTTAGCAGCACTCCAACTCCCTTTGCTGAGTTTTTTTTCTTTTTTTTTTTTGGTTTTCCCTTTTCACCCAATAAAATCCTTCTCTATTCACCTTTCAATGTGAATAGAGTGTCCACGTGCCTAAATTTTCTTGGTCATGTGAAAAGAACCTGGTTTTAGCTGAATCAGGAGCAAAATTCTGAAACATTAGCACAGACATTTTGAAAAAGTTTCCTTGCTGATTCCCATATGCACCTCTGGTTTAAAAATACAGTTCTAAAGATGTAAGAATTAGAACCCTTAAAACACTGGACATAGTAGTCAAATAGCTACTAAATGCAAAGAGCAGGCAATTAACACTGGGAAATACAGTTCAGTAGAATATCGGGATCATCACATGCCTCAAAAAACATTGTGTCCTCCTTCTCCCAACTCCGTAGTTTTCTTCCTCTGTCTCTGTCCTTTCCTTTCAATTTTATTTATTAATTATTAATAATTTTTGAAATGGGGGTCTCTCTAAGTTGCCCAGGCTGCTCTCAAATGATTCTCCAGCCTCAGCCTCCTAAAGTGCTGGGATCACAAGCATGAGCCAATGTGCCTGGCCTCCCCTCAATTTTTTTTTTTTTTTTTTTTTAGATGGCGTTTTGCTCTTGTTGCCCAGGCTGGAGTGCAATGGCACGATCTTGGCTCGCCACAGCCTCTGCCTCCCAGGTTCAAATGATTCTCCTGCCTCAGCCTCTTGAGTAGCTGGGATTATAGGCATGCACCACCATGCCAAGCTAGTTTTGTATTTTTAGTAGAGACAGTGTTTCTCCATGTTGGTCAGGCTAGTCTGGAATTCCCGACTTCAAGTGATCCACCCACTTCAGCCTCCCAAAGTGCTGGGATTACAGGCATGAGCCACCACGCCCAGCATGCCTCAATTTTAATATAACTTGACCTTTACTATTATATGCATAGATATTCATTATAGAAAATATAGATAAACAAAAAAGAAGAAAACAAAAATGAACTTATAATTCTACCATTCCAAAATAATGAAAATGTTTATTTATAGCCTTCAAGATATTTATGCAAACATATATTTAAAAGGGAATCGGCCAGGCTTAGTGGCTCACGTGTGTAATCCCAGCATTTTGGGAGGTAGAGTGGATCACCTGAGATCAGGAGTTTGAGACCAGCCTGCTCAACAGGGTGAAACCCCATCTCTTCTAAAAATACAAAAATTAGCAGAACATGGTGGCAGGAACCTGTAATCCCAGCTGCTCAGGAGGCTGAAGCAGAAGAATTGCTTAAACCTGGGAGGAGGAGGTTGTAGTAAGTTGAGATCATGCCATTGCACTCCATCCTGGGTGACAAGAGCAAAACTTCGTCTCAATAAATAAATAAATAAACAAATAAAAATAAAAAATAAAAGGCAATCATACTATACATGCCATTTTTAACCTGAATTTTTTCACTGTGTAATTATATATTTTTTCTGAGATAATAAGAGTGAAAGCTCTGACAGAGCAAGGAACAGTAGTAGCAAGAGAGCTGATCAACAAAAAGCAGGCGATGAGATCAAGCTGCCCCACTAACCTGCTGAACTACAATCCTCTCCCTCATATTCTCTTCCCTCCACCTTCTGATCCTCCCTGACTTCATGTCTCTCCCTTTGTTTGCCTTCTACATGCTCTTTCCCTTTCTCTTTTCCACAACCTTCTACCCTCAATTCTCTCTACTAAAGCAACCAAGGCCTTCAGGACAAGGGTTAATATTTAATAGAATTAAACTTCCTGCTAATTTGACAAGAGATGAATAATCAGGAGCTGGAGCAACAGCTGCACCCTCCTCTGCATTAGGGATTTTCTGAGCAAGCCCAGGCAAGAGCCCTCTGTTCTTTTTTTTTTTCTTTTTAGAGACAGAGTTTCGCTCTTGTTGCCCAGGCTGGAGTGCTATGGTGCTATCTTGGCTCACTGCAACCTCTGCCTCCTAGGTTCAAGCAATTCTCCTGCCTCGGCGTCCCAACTAGCTGGGATTATAGGCATGCACCACCATGCCCAGCTAATTTTGTATTTTTAGTAGAGATGGAGGTTCACCATGTTAGTCAGGCTGGTCTAGAATTTCTGACCTCAAGTGGTCTGCCTGCCTCAGCCTCCCAAAGTGCTGAGATTATAGACGTGAGCCACCCTGCCCAGCCTGAGTCCTCTTCTGTTGATGACTATCTGTTGTCTCCACTCAGGAGCCCAAATTAAAGTTTCTTATTTGCCTTAGAAGCAAGGTGTGCCCAGAGACAGCCGGGGTACCCAGATTGTCAGAGAAGAGCCATGTCAAGAAGATTGTGTTTCTGGAATTGGAACCAAGGGAGATAGAGCTATGGTTGACACAAGATGAGGACTGAGGAGGCAGACATGAAAATTCAAAACAAACCAGCTGCAGTGCTTCCCCACTGGTGTTACAAAACCAGTCACAGAAAACCAGTTCCTCTTGCTTCAGGTGGGAAGAATCTGCCACATGCCAGTTAACCCAACCCTACTGACAAACACATTTCCACTGCAGTTATTAATCCACTGGTAGTGAGGAAAGTTTTCTGAACTTTGAAAACTTCACTGGGCTGGCTGAAAGAAAGCAAGTACTTTCTACTACACTAAAGCCAAATTGTGTTTACCAGAGGCTGTGGGAAATTACCATTTTCATTAAATGTAAATCATTGCTCTCAAACCAACTAGTTCTTGGGGATGAAATTGTCACTGGCTTTATTAACTAGGAAAGGATACATTATCCAGCTCTCTAAAGGCACGCTGCTGTGGAAGATTCTAGAAAATGAGTGGAAAGTGACTCATTCTCCACCCTCATCCCCAAAACCAAAACTCCCCCATGCAGCAAAATACCCCCTGCAGCAGCAGTAGTTTGTGGATTATCCTCAGAGTGGGGGTGTAGCACGTAGGCCGCTAGATGCTGCAGGGGGCGGCAATTAAATGCTTCACCAGGGGTGTTAGTCACAGTGGGTGGGACCTTCCCTGTCATCCTGCAGAAATGGGAGCCAGAGAAGCCAAAGAGAAGGAGGCTCCACCCCCTATAACCTCTTTCTTTTCCCAGCAGCAAGTACTTTATAAGCAGCACTTAGCATATATACAAGGTCAGAAAGGAGGTGAAAAATAGGGGAAGATGTTTTGACATAAATATTTCCAGAAAGGATCTGTTAAGGAGGAGCATCTCTGTCTTATGGCAGAGTTGAAACTTAAAAAGAAAAAAATATTCATGTGAGAAAAACTAGAACATTTTTTCCTCCCCCTCACCCTGAGAAACAAATCTTGACTTGTAGTGGCACCTGAAGTTTTACCATTAGTGACTCATTCCTTCGTGAGTTGCAGGAGACTTGGCATTTAAGAGATCTGTATTGAAATGCAAATACTTATGAGACCTGCCAATAATTTTCACTAGCACCAGCATCTTTGAGATGACCTTTCAAATACAGACTCCTGGCACATACAAGTATACATCATCCCCCTAGTCGTCACCACAACCATGACCTTCAGCCAATAGGCGGGTTCTCCAGTTCTCTGGCTTCTGATGGGAGCTTGATATAGCTAACTTTAGTTCTTGCTTTTGCAGATTAGAAAATGATTTCCACTGTGGTGACAATTTGGCTACCTTAATCAGAACTGACCCTTAATAGTTAAGGATGAAAGCAATGGAATACTGGAAGTAGTTGGGTTTGTAAAATGTTAGCATGTCAAAAGGGAGGATGGCTATACAGGAGTCAACACTGCCGCCTTCCTCCACTGAATCCATGGCCCCTTCCTATATTGTGTCTCGTTCTTTTCTCCCTGGTTTCTCTACAATTACATTCTCTTTCTCCTTTTTCTCCTACCCCTCAAGACACAGATATATTCAGAATGCAATTGTATCTGTCTTCTATGCACTTAATCATTTAGTACTTTCTTTACACAACATAGTGAGAAATACAATTCTAAGCCCTGACTGAATGGAACCTTTCTTGGACAAAGGATCCTCAGAGGAAGCTTGGAAGCAGAATTCATGGTTACCTCCTCCCTTGATAAAAGTCATTAGGTTTCCTTCTCTAAGGTCTAAACAGAAACCAGCCCTTTAAACAGACTGCTAGCTTGTCTTCCCAAACATGGAACAGAAACAAGATAAGATTAATGGTTCCTTCATCACCCTCCAAGACCTCTGCTTCCTCTATTCCCTTTTTCTTCAATGCTTGCCTTATCTTATGTGAAATGCAGATTTTTGGGGTACTAATTAAAGTCTCACAGATACATTCTCATTGGTCTCACTGCTGCCCCTCCCTCATTCCTTTTAAAGAAAAATGAATAAATACTAAACCTCCTGAGAATCTCTTTGGAAAAAAGAGGCACAGATGCTTCTGTGACTCATGTTTTTTTCCCGGCACACCCTCAAGCTGGCTCAAAACCTGGATGATTTGAATCTTATGCTTCAATCACTCATTTTGGTTTTCAATAGGCTTAATATTTTACTTGAGAATAGAGTCGTGTCAGTGAGCTGACCTTTTTTTACTCAATGGGCTTAGCAGCTATGACAGTGGAAAAAAGGTCCTTACCTTTGTTTCATGATGTTAAGAGTGAAGGAATCATTGGTAGATGCTGAGAACCACAGGGCCACCTAGAGAGTGTCAGAGGGTAATAAGGGTGAGTTGAGGGTTTGAAAAAACAAGACCAGATCTCTTAAGAAAGAGCATCTCTAGCTCATGGCAGAGTTGAAAAAAGATCCCTGCCCCCCCACCCCAGATTGCCAAAAAAGCAAGTTAAAATCAGCCCTGACCAGTGAGCCCTGGTTAACAGTCCACCCTAGGGTAGCAGCAAAGACCCCACAGGTTGCTTCCCACTCACACTCTCCATAAGATTTCCTCAGGTGGGGAGGGCACATGGAGCCCAGGGTTATCTTGCAGAGTTGGGACAACCATAATGTGCCTCTCCTGCCTGTTGGTCTTTTTTTCCCTACTTCAATACATACAGGTGAAATCAAATGAAAATTGATACCAAAGACCCCACAAAGGATAAAGAAGCCACTACAAGCCAAGAAAGCAGAGTGTGTGGACAGAAGAAGTGGGGAAGTCACTCCAGATTCTCTGGGTGGCTAGGTGTAGTTTGGAAGACAAAGTTACTGGCATTTTCAAGCTTCACCTGGCCAAGTCCTCTTCTTCCCTAGGTGGGGATGCCTCCATGAGCTCCAACAGGCAGCCTGACCTACCTCCCAGCTCTGCTTAGCTGCTGGGCACCCCGTGGAATGGAGAAGGTGAAGCCCATAATGAACACACAGCCCTGGGCACTTACTTCCCCCGACCAAAGAGGCACTCCTCTCCTGGGCCTAGACCTCTTCCGGCGACCAGCATGTGACAGAGCCACAACCTCCGGTCCCTGTGTCAGCCATCTGCAGTTCCTCCTTTTCCCTTTCCTCTCTCCCCTGATAAACAATGACCGTTGACGGTCCCACTAGCTACAGGTTTTGATGCCAAGATTAGCTTTGGTCAAGATGATAATCTCCATCCTCCAAAACAATGACCAAAATGTTTTATTTTATGGCTAGGAACTTTACTTTCTTTCATATGGAATATTTAATATATTTTCACTGTGCTCGTTTTTGTTCTGTGTGGTGATAGTTAACAGCAAAATTGATACTACCCAAGAAATAAGCAAGGAACTTCTTGAGAACATGAGGAACTAAGCATGCAGTTGAACGTAGAGCCCCAAAAAAGAACTTCTTCTATATTTGATTCCTTCTCTGATTTGTGTAATCTCCTCCTCACACACACAAAAAAATCAACGAATTGTGTAACCCAGTTTCTCAAGTATCATAACAAATTGCCTATTCCCTGTTCCACCCTTGCCACACATAGAATTTTTTTTTTTTTTTGAGATGGGGTCTCACTTATTGCCCAGGCTGGAGCGTGATTTTGACTCACTGCAACCTCTGACTCCCGGGTTCAAGTGATTCTCCTGTCTTAGCCCTCTTGAGTATCTGGGACTACAGTGCGAGCCACCATGCCTGGCTAATTTTTTGTATTTTTAGTAGGATGGGGTTTAACCATGTTGGCTGGGCTGGTCTTGAACTTTCGACCTCAGGTGATCCGCCCACCTTGGCCTCCCAAAGTGCTGGGATTACAGGTGTGAGCCACCATGCCCAGCCCACACATAGAATTCTTAATAAATTAAAGCACATAGCATCTATTGCTTTAAGCAGGTAGCCTCTGCAGCCATTTGCCAAAGACTGGGAAAATTCCCATTTGTATAAATCCCAGGTGCCAATACTTGCAGCTTTCTCTTCTATAAGTTAAAGTCTAAAAACTAGAATTTCAGAACAGTGAAGGAAAATGTGAATATTACAACATATAATATTTAGGCAACCATATAGTCTCACACACACAAAAAAGGACAAAACCCAGATGATGTTGTTTTAAATGTAAAAATAAAAGAATAAAAGTAATAGAGAAAAAGATGGTTTTCTTAAAAATAGTTTTTGGAGTAAGGAGGAACTTTCTAAGTATTACATAAAACCAAAAAACCATAAAAAAAGTCTGATAGATTGAACGATATAAATTTTTTTAGCTTCCAGAAACAAAGCCAAAAAAAGACAAAAGACAAAATGAGAAAAATGTGTTGACAGCTCTTATCACAAACGTATAATTTCCTTCAGATAAAAAGAACTCCCAACTTAATACTGTAAGAAAAAGATCAAAAATCCAATAGAAAAAAAATGGTTGGGAAAATGATATCAGTAGATAGTTTACAAAAAAAAGGAAATAGAGGTGCCTCATAAGCATGTAAGAAGATGTTTTATAAGTTAACTTAAATAATTCAATTTTACTATAGTTAAATACAATTTAAATTTAAATTACATTGATACATCATTCTTTGCCTATCAGATTAACAGCTTGCAAAACGTTTTATGACATACTTCGTGGGCAAGGCTCTGGGAAAACAAGCATCTTACCCGTTGCTAGTGAATGTAAACTGGTACCATCTCACCAGAAGTCAATTTAAACAGTATCTTTTATTTTGCAAATGTTAATAGTATTTTGTATCTTTACTATTTTTTATTTTACAAATGCAAATAGTAATGTCTCTATTACTTTTACTCATGAGATATGACGAAGTTTGCTGGAGGCATCCAAAAAATTTTCCACTCTTCAGAGAGTTGCAGGAAGAGATAATTTCTCTCTTCCTTATACAGATGAGGTCTGGAACTGCCACCACCATCTTGTCAGGCAGCCTGAGCACAAATCCCTGCCTCAGAGGTGGGAGGGCCACGTAGATGGCCAGAGCCAGGCGCCCCAGCCTATGTTTGGCCTTCCCATGCTGTAGGCCAATACATTTCCTATGTTTAAGGCAGTTGGATTTAGATTTTCTGTTTCTTGCTGTTGAATGCATCTTAAGCAACATAGTTTTAACCTGTTTATGTTTGTTTATTTTATGTGTCAACATGGCTAGGCTACGGTACCCAGTTATTCAGTCAAACACTAACCTAGGTGTTACTAGTGAGATTTGTAGTTGTGATAATATCTACTTAAAATGACTTGAAGTAGATTATCTCTGCTAATCTGGGTGGGCTTCATCCAATCAACTGAAAGTTCTTCAGAGAAAAACAAGTTTCCTTGAGGAAGAAAAAATTCCACCTGCAGACTGCAACATCAGCTCTTGCTCAAGAGTTTCCAGCCTGCTGGCCTGTCCTACAGTTTCAGACTTGCCTAGCCAGTCCTCACAGTCACATAAGTCGACTCCTCTCATAAATCTCTTGCTCTCCTTCTCTGTGTATGTATGTATATATGCACATATGTAAATGTATTTATATACTGGCCCTTTTCTCTGGTCTAACCCTTATTAATGTACCTCTTTTTTCCTTTACGATACCTCAATTTGGGATTATATACTTTGCATTTATTATGTATATCCCAATATTCACAGTCAGACTATAGGCTTTATGCACATATGTGAGTAATTCCAAAAGTAGAATTTCTGGTCAAAAATTATACACACTTGGAAGATGAAAAATATTGCTAAATTACTATTTTTAGAGGTTGCACCAATTATACTCTTACTAGAAATAGTCTTCATGTCTTTAGTATTACTGTATGTTCCTGGCACAAAGTAGGGGTTCAATACATTTGATGGAATTATAGGAAGAGAAGCACAAATTAAAGCAAAAAGACATAAAGGTATGCTACATTAGGAAGTTTTTTGTTTGACTAAGCCACTTTTTTAGTTCTCCTTTCCTCTACAGGTGACATGAAAATTTGGAGTAATTCATAGTCTGGTACTCATACAGCAGCAGCAGGCAGAACTCTCAGTTTGGGGTAAGCCCTCGGTTTGAACACAAATTCTGTGACATTCAAGCTTTCCAACCTTGGGCAGATCCTTAGCCTCTATCATCCTCAGCTTCCACATCTTTGTGGAAATGAAGCTGATGACCTTCTAGACTGGAGTGAAGGTCAGGAGATAAATACATAAAGCACCTGGTCCATTATGCAGTGTGGACATAGGGATTATAATAAGATCCTTCCTACAAATCTGGGAACAGAAAGCAACAATGCGCTCTAAAAACAGTGTATATTGAGCACATAAAGCACCTGAGCAGAGATCTGAGTGACCATGAAGAGATCAGCAGGATACCAACCAGGTTGACGTTGGTAAAACACCTAAAGGAGGCTATGACAAATAGAAGGGGACTGTCACACCCAAAGCCTAGAAAAGCAGAGTCAGAGACAAAGTGAGGCTGTGCCCCTGAAGGCATGTCCCATCAGGCCCTCAAATTTAGCCCAAAAGTTCATTTCAATCATGAGAACACATCCATCTGGCTACCTGAACTTAATGCTGTTCTACTTTTGAATTACATAAATAGCTCTTTTTGTTCAGATTCCACATTGACCAAAACCTTTCTGATAGTTTGGGCTCCTCTATGGACTGTCCACAGGGAATTTTCTCTGGTCAGGCCCACCTGGCCAGCCAACTCTCCCGACCCAGCATCCCACTCAAACACCTGTGTTCTCTTTCATTTTAGAGGTTAGGCAGTACAATCCGACCCAGATGGGGGAGGAAATTGCAATCATGTTTTTGTCTAATTCACAGCTCTAATTAGGGGATAAAAGAAAAATAGAGCATGAGAAGAAATTGTCCAAAAGCTGGAAATTTTGTAAAAGTACCCATCCCTATGGGGAAGGCACCTCTGTGAACTTTGCCTCTACAGTTAAGCTGATGTCATATCAACTGCTAGGAAGACAGGGCAAGCACTTTGTATTGTATTTATTTATTTACTTATACCCAGCTTATTCCTTAAAGGACTTAAGGCAAGCAGTCTTTAAGGGCCATCTTCCCTGACTACTGACAAAACTAAGTGAGAAAAATAACTTTGTTGGCAGGGCACAGTGGCTCACGCCTGTAATCCCAGTTCTTTGGAAGGCTAAGACGGGCAGATAACGAGGTCAGGAGGTTGAGACCAGCCTGACCAACATGGTGAAACCCCATCTCTACTAAAAATACAAAAAAATTAGCCAGGCATGGTGGCATGCACATGTAATCCCAGCTACTTGGGAGGCCAAGGCAGGAGAATCTCTTGAACTTAGGACGAAGAAGTTGCAGTGAGCCAAGATCTCGCCACTGCACTCTAGCCTGGCCAGGCCAGTAAGAGCGAGACTCTGTCTCAAAAAAAGAAAATGGTTTGTTCAGAATCACGTACTTTTTATTTAAAAGTCCAGAGACCAAACCATGACTTTCTTAGTCTAGGTACAAAACTCTTGCCAAAGAACCAGACTGAAGATCAGAAAAGAGTCCATTTGCTATAAACAGAATGCTGAATTCAGAAGACTTAAGGATGATTTTAGGTTAGGATTGAAGTTTGTGACCTGTAATTCAGCTTTTATGCTTTTGTAATCTCCTTACTCTAATCTTTTGAATTCTTTTAGATTTTTATTTATTGTAAAATAGAAGACTTTTGATTTCAACCATTCCATTGAGCTAACCCTTCCATGAAAACAACTGTAACAGATGGACTAATATATAGTACAACATTTGAAGGCATTGGAGGGCAACTGAGGCAGGCAATACCTAAGAGAAGGGAGGCACATCAAAATGATCTCTATATTCACCCTGACCCAACGCACAAGTGAGGGAATAGAGTAAGTGGCAGTTCCATTAGGCTGAAGAGACAGATTAGAGTTCAAAGCTGTTCAAGTGGTTGCAACTTGGTAAAATCTCAAGGAAGAGAGAGTTGCAGATAAATAAACCCAAAAGGCTATATGCAATCTCCCCTTGAGATGTTTGCAAACTCCTAAGCTGAGAAGCACAGGCAGTACTGCAGGAGAACCAAAAGAAAAGCAGCAGCTGGGAGGCTGGAGAGCTGGGCAAAGATTTTTGCAGCAGCATGGTACTGAAGAGATAGAAAAGCAAAGCCCACCAAGGTGAACAGGTGAAACACATCCCAAACTCTTGGTTGAGACCCCCAGAAAGACCTGTGAATAGCTACTGCACTTTAGGCTGGGCAACATAGTGAGACCCCATCTCTTAAAGCTGAAAACCAGTAAGTTAAAACAATAGAAGACAAAAAAAGAATAATAAAAATATTTTATTCTCTCCCCTCAAAAGCAAGAAGGGAGAAATAAAGAACAGAAATAGAAACAAGTTGACAAGATAATAGAATTAAACATAAATATTTCAATAATTACATTAAATGTTAATGGATTAGTACCCCAACTAGAAGATCAGAATTACTTTTAGACAAAAAAGAAAAATATATATTCTGTTCACAAGAGACTCAGGTTGGGCGAGGTGGCTCATGCCTGTAATCCCAGCACTTTAGGACACCAACATGGGTAGATCACTTGAGGCCAGGAGTTCAAGACCAGCCTGGCCAACATGGCAAAACCCTGTCTCTACCAAAAATACAAAAATTAGCCAGGCATGGTGGCGCATGTCTGTAATTCCAGCTACTTGGGAAGCTGAGGCAGGAGAATTGCTCGAGCCAGG